CATTTTAACAGTCAATATTTTGAAATATAAAGTCAGTTCAGCTCAACATGACTATGAAAATATGAGCATTATGTAACTGTAAAGTTGTCTTACTGTGACAACTTGTCAAAGAAATGATCAAACACATTATTTTCAGCAGAAAATGACCTACTGGAGAAATGATTAATCTTGAACTTAAGGTATTCTTACTGTGATCCTTTCCCGCCAAAGAAATTCTAACATCGGCCAATATCGTAGCAAATCGGATATTTCCGAAACGATATTTATTTTATTTTTTCAAAATATTGGGCATTTACTTAATTTATTAACGGGTTATCTTACAACTAAGTAGTTTTCCAGCGACAAGGTTCGAAAGCAGACGGAACTTTAGTTATTGCCGAGATATCTTTCGTTGAAAGATATGGGGTCTAAGATGACGCAATTTCTTTATAATGAACAAAACCATATACAGCAGATACGTATGAATGTAGAATCAATAGTAGCATTTCTAAGCTAATAAAACGGTAGAACCAAAGATCATCATGCACATATCTTTACATAGCAGATATAGCACCGTCTGGAACTGCGCAACACTTCTAATACAAATGGTTATATTTCCCAGAAGAAAACATAACTGTTTATAAATAGTCAATTGTGAATAAAATTACAGAACACAGAATGATTGGAATAAGGCCGTGACTGTATTGTGCATTTTAGTGAAAACAAATATCATCGTCAAAAAATATGAAATGAAATAAAAATTGTAATGAGAAAAAATATGATAGACAGCTCCCAGCTAAATGCATGGAATTACAAAGCTACATAGCAACGCAAAGTGCTGTAAACTATGATAATAAGCTATGGAAGCCTTGGAGGGTCACTTTTGAGTTTCGACTTATAGATTTATTTTACTATTTTCTTATGACTTTTGATTTGTGACTTTTGATTTATGACTTTTGATTTTTGACTTATGGATTTTGTTATTGTCCCACGTGCTTGCCTCATAATTTCCAAGGAAAATATGGCAGAATATGACAACGATTCAGACGAGGTAAGTTCATTTACCAAAGTTTCCTGGAGACTTATTTAAAAAACAAAATATGTGGGCTCATATGCAAGAACAGAATGTTATTCTTATATAAGCTTTTTTTTAATTGATTAGGAAAAGAAAATACTTTGCTTGCATTGCACTGCATTGGGTATCCATTTTTTATTTTGATTTCCGGAACAGGCATTTATAATCTCAAATTGACATACAGCGTATGAATCAAACGCTTTATCTTTTATATGGGTTCCAGTTTTAAATCCAAATAAGTCTCGCATTGTTGTTTGCTACACCCGTAGTTCATTCTTCGTCCATCTTATATTGAATATAGACCAAATTATAGGCCTTATTTTGATAAAGGAAATTTATAGTTAAGAAGTTTCATGAAAAATGGTATTTAATCATACAGCTTTGAAACTTCACACACTTGTTTAGAAAACGCTCTAAGTTAGAAATCTCTGAATTTCATTGTTATCAAATTATGCCTCTTTTTCGACTTTGAATTTATGGTTAAGAATTTTCATGAAAAATGGTTTCTCAAAAACTATTTTAGCGATTCCTTTGAAACTTAAAACACATATTAAGTGTTGACATCTAAGGTCAATGACCAAGTTTCGTATGAGTGGCTCACAATTTGACATACTTATGCCCATTTTTAAAGCTAAAATGTTTTGTCAGAAGGTTTCTGAAATATGGCCCCATATAAACCAGTTATGACATGATATTGAAACTTTATACACTTGTTCAGTATCAATAACTTAGGACACCTACCAAGTAAAAAGTACATGTTTTTGTATATAAACTTTTGTATACAGTTATGGTTTAAGGGATGTTTTTGTATTTCATTTTGTATATATATGTATTTCATTTCAATTGAGGTAACACATACTTTTAATGTTTTCAATTTTAATTCTAGTAAAGCTACCTGTAGGAATTAAGGACGTGCTGTCGAATGGTTTCATCTACAAAGCAGTTGCAAGAGCATCAGCAATACATATTTGTCAAGTTTTCGGAGCCAGTTTAGAAGACTAAGAGGTTTCATTGCAAAACAGCGTTCGTTCCGAGTGGAAAGTAGTACAGTTTAGCAAATGCAAAATGTCCAAACACTGGTGATTTGGTTTTATTCGTTATTGTCTATGGAAATATTCAGACATTTTCGGAATACGAGTGTTACTTTTTCACACTTGTTTCAGACGCTCGATAATTTTCAAGTTTTAACCCCACCACTTATTGTGGACGCTTTATTGGAAACACGGCCACGTTAATTTTATCCCGTCCATATCTGCAATATGGTATAAAACTTGTATCGATAGACAGGTCATGGTGAGACAGAGAAAAGTGTGAAAAATCATGAATTCATAATTCTGGCTTTCATAATTTTCAGTATTTGGCCATTGTAAATTTTAAAAACTTATATGAAAGGTACCGAAATCAAACTTTGCATGTTCATATAGCTTGGCGAGGCAGAAAGAAACATACTTCTTGCTATCATAGCTATCATACATTTTAGAAACTCCCCTTTTATATATATATATATATATATATATATATATATATAAATGAGAGAATATATACACACATACCACCACATCGATATGCCAGTCCAATTACGGCACAGCGCCTAGCAGAACAGTCATGAAAGCATAGCCACTGCTCATCCACCATCACAAAAATGATGGTTTCAGAACATCTTTATATACAGTCACAAACTGCACTACACATTGAAACAAGCTCAACATTCACATATATAGAGTTTGTTCTCTGTTATCATATCTCACAAATCAACGATGACATTTTTATTGTCTTCTTCACTGATTGGGACCAGAGAACTATATATCTATTTCCGAAAGTCAACTGGATCACGTAAGATCAAGTAGATCCGTAGGATACAATGAATTTAGACAGATAAAGTATATATAAAGGGAGATAATTAAATTCAATACAGTTATACTTTCCCCTGCGTGGGATCACTTAAGATACAAGTGTGCAGATAAATTGATAGAAATGAGAGAATATATACACACATACCACCACATCGATATGCCAGTCCAATTACGGCACAGCGCCTAGCAGAACAGTCATGAAAGCATAGCCACTGCTCATCCACCATCACAAAAATGATGGTTTCAGAACAGCTTTATATACAGTCACAAACTGCACTACACATTGAAACAAGCTCAACATTCACATATATAGAGTTTGTTCTCTGTTATCATATCTCACAAATCAACGATGACATTTTTATTGTCTTCTTCACTGATTGGGACCAGAGAACTATATATCTATTTCCGAAAGTCAACTGGATCACGTAAGATCAAGTAGATCCGTTAGGATACAATGAATTTAGACAGATAAAGTATATATAAAGGGAGATAATTAAATTCAATACAGTTATACTTTCCCCTGCGTGGGATCACTTAAGATACAAGTGTGCAGATAAATTGATAGAAATGAGAGAATATATACACACATACCACCACATCGATATGCCAGTCCAATTAAGGCACAGCGCCTAGCAGAACAGTCATGAAAGCATAGCCACTGCTCATCCACCATCACAAAAATGATGGTTTCAGAACAGCTTTATATACAGTCACAAACTGCACTACACATTGAAACAAGCTCAACATTCACATATATAGAGTTTGTTCTCTGTTATCATATCTCACAAATCAACGATGACATTTTTATTGTCTTCTTCACTGATTGGGACCAGAGAACTATATATCTATTTCCGAAAGTCAACTGGATCACGTAAGATCAAGTAGATCCGTAGGATACAATGAATTTAGACAGATAAAGTATATACAAAGGGAGATAATTAAAAATTACAGTTTAACAAATTCTAAGTATATACATATGAGAATGTTGAGCTTGTTTCAATGTGTAGTACAGTTTGTGACTGTATATAAAGCTGTTCTGAAACCATCATTTTTGTGATGGTGGATGAGCAGTGGCTATGCTTTCATGACTGTTCTGCTAGGCGCTGTGCCGTAATTGGAGTGGCATATCGATGTGGTGGTATGTGTGTATATATTCTCTCATTTCTATCAATTTATCTGCACACTTGTATCTTAAGTGATCCCACGCAGGGGAAAGTATAACTGTATTGAATTTAATTATCTCCCTTTATATATACTTTATCTGTCTAAATTCATTGTATCCTACGGATCTACTTGATCTTACGTGATCCAGTTGACTATCGGAAATAGATATATAGTTCTCTGGTCCCAATCAGTGAAGAAGACAATAAAATGTCATCGTTGATTTGTGAGATATGTCAACAGAGAACAAACTCTATATATGAGAATGTTGAGCTTGTTTCAATGTGTAGTGCAGTTTGTGACTGTATATAAAGCTGTTCTGAAACCATCATTTTTGTGATGGTGGATGAGCAGTGGCTATGCTTTCATGACTGTTCTGCTAGGCGCTGTGCCGTAATTGGACTGGCATATCGATGTGGTGGTATGTGTGTATATATTCTCTCATTTCTATCAATTTATCTGCACACTTGTATCTTAAGTGATCCCACGCAGGGGAAAGTATAACTGTATTGAATTTAATTATCTCCCTTTATATATACTTTATCTGTCTAAATTCATTGTATCCTACGGATCTACTTGATTTTACGTGATCCAGTTGACTTTCGGAAATAGATATATAGTTCTCTGGTCCCAATCAGTGAAGAAGACAATAAAACGTCATCGTTGATTTGTGAGATATGTTAACAAAGAACAAACTCTATATATGAGAATGTTGAGCTTGTTTCAATGTGTAGTGCAGTTTGTGACTGTATATAAAGCTGTTCTGAAACCATCATTTTTGTGATGGTGGATGAGCAGTGGCTATGCTTTCATGACTGTTCTGCTAGGCGCTGTGCCGTAAATGGACTGGCATATCGATGTGGTGGTATGTGTGTATATATTCTCTCATTTATATATATATATATATATATATATATATATATATATATATATATATATATATATACTTAGAATTTGTTAAACTCATAATTATCTCAAAAACTGTTGAAGGCATCAACTTGAATTTACTGGCAGATATGTCTCGCCGAGACAGAGTTCATTGTGTTGTTTACAAAACTTTTGATTATAACATTTAATCATTCTCCTAAGTTAAACATTCCCTTTCTCGACATGCTGTGGGTTGGGGTATGCTCATTGCGAAATACTATGAGATTTCAATTACATATAAAGTCGGTCATTCTTCGAAAAAAAAAAAACTTGTGGACGTTATTTAATATATACATTATACAATGTTTACAGTTTCTTAAAGTTAACTAGGAAATTTTTAGCTAGAGACTGTGTTTGTTTTTTCTTTTTCTCTCTTCTGAACATTTCGAAATGAAGAAATAACGCTTTGACAATGATTTTAAAAATCTTGACTTCAATAATAATACAGTCACTCTAGCGTTGCTAGTTTACCTAATTTATCTTATGTTTTCAAAAGCTTCGTTAGAACACTAATGATTTCTTAGTTTTCCATCAGTAACGTAATCAACAATGTGTTGTTTTGTAGAAATATTGCATGTATATATGTCTTCTGTGACGTAAATACTTGAAGTTTTTGTTGATGGCAGTGTTTATTTTTAGCTGTTCCTTAGTGTTAGCTTTTAAGTAAGGCATATGTGCTATTTTAGAAACAATATGCTTACCTCTGTATTTCTTATCTCTTTTTTTAAACTAAATATAATGAAGCTCAAATGCAGTTTGTTTTTGCATATCTAATACATTTGTTTTCTTATAAGACAACAATTTTGTTAAACAAAATAAAGCACGTTTGTAGAATACACAATGTTTGTTGTTATCTGTTTAAACGCATTTATTCCAAAAAAATATTGATAACTCTGCCAACCTGTCACGGTCTAGACCGTGAGGTAAAAACCTTTGGTAGTGTGGTCTCTCGGTAGAGGTATATTTAGGTAGTCTGTTGAGGGAGTTGGCTGGTTCCACACAGTTTACTTCTATAGTGATTGCTATTCTTTTTCTACTTTGCTCATTTCAACCTCTTACTTATAATTTTAATGGAACACTATCTCTACATAGATAAAAAAAATCTCTGTAACATTTATATACTGTTTATTCCGGTGGTAAATTACAAGTTTATTTTGGTTATAACAAAGTTACAATAACACAATGATAAATTGTCAACAAATGAGGATTCTAATGCAAAAATGAGGCTGGTGGCTTAATGTACTTGTAAATATTATATGATTTCAACATCACTCTCGGCTAATGTGCTCCCTTACGTTTGGTGATTGTATCACAAATTTATTTTGTATTAATCTAAAATCAAGTAAAACTAATGTTTATACCAAGGCAAAGAGTAAAAGCAAAATTTAATGGCAAAAGTTATAAGTAAAAAGTCAAAAGATAAAAGTCATAAGTAAAAAGTGATAAATTATAAGTGAAAAGTCACAAGGCAAAACCTAAAAAACGAAAAAATAACTCAGCATTTATAACAATGATCAATTATTATTTTTGAAATAACAATCATATATATTCCTTTTAAATACCATAATACATTGTATAAAGTATGGTTGCTATTTGTTGCGAATGAATAAGACGTTTGAATCTAATTACACTTACTTCAAATTACACGTATAACTTATATGTCACGGTAGATGATGTGCAATCTCGGCCGGGACAGAACTAGCCCTGTAAGAGGGTCCGGGTTCGAATCCCCGTATGGCTGCTGATCTTTCTCCCCCTGTGACATTTGGCATAGTGGAAAGTGTCCCTGCCAGTCACGCGGGAGACCGAGGTTCTATTCCTTGTCGGGCAGCCGTTTTGTAACCAGGGCTTGATAGAAGAGATACAACCAGAAGTCGATTCATATAGTGCAGTTAATCTCGTAATACGTATGCCAAAAACAAAAAGAAATACTGCATGTATTTACGTGAAAAGTCACAAAATTGCACATACATATATTGTGATGTAAAAACTTTAAAAATTAATATTTACAGGCTGCTGAGTTGGAAATCTTTAAAAGGACAATTAACTTGTACAATAAATGAGTTTAGATTTGATTTAAAGATTCCCACTACACGTATGCTTTTCGTGAAAAATTACATGCAAAGACTGTTTAAGAAATGACCCGTTAAGATATGACCATTCTAATGCACTACCTCCATTTCAAGAGTATTCACATTAGTTGCATGAAATCAGATGGTTGTGGGTTCGAATCCGATAGGAGCCAACTTTTTTTTTCTTCATTTTTTCTTCAGTATTTTTGTAGCTATATTTAGATGGAAAAATATGCTCGTTTTCTATTATTATCTTTTTTAACAGATATTCATTGCCTAATTAATGTTAAATCTAAGAGCAAATACGACATGTAACATTTTCAATGATTTATATATTACAAACTAGCCGGTAAAAGCCTTCCATATTTCACAGAATGAATCAGTATACTTCTAGAAAGATTTTAGCAAACTTTGATACAAGCCCTTTGACTAAATGTAATTTTAGTGGTTTTTTTTTAGTTTTAGAATGATATGATAGAAAATGTTCAAATGGGTGGGGTAAAGAAACATTTCCATGCATATTTCTATCGTGTCAAGAATAGTCATGCATTTAACATGGATAGTTCATTACTAGAATGTTATTATTTGCAGCTTAACAAACAAACACTTGCAAAACATGTTTAAATGAGATGACACGGATATTTTTTTAGACTTTCAATACATGTATTTCTTTTAAAAAGCCTTTTTAATGGATATGTTCGGACTCATTATAATGCCTACAACTCCAAATCCGTACGGTAAATTTTGCTTAAATTTTGCAAACAGGTGTCCTTTAGGTATACTACTCAACAATGTTGTCAATTTTACGATCCCTTATAGTGCAAATTAGAGTGGTTATAACTTAAATGATTATTTACAAATATATTGTAATTTGCTCAATATTTACAAACCAATATCTTAAAACAACCATATAATGAAGTGAAATTGTAGACTATCGTCTTTATGATTTTAAAACATCATTTTTTTAAACTTAACCTATAGTAACCTAGAATATATCAATAACACGAAAAAAATCAGTATAAGTCGTTTCAAAGCGTATTTATATTAAATATATTATCAAAATTAAATCGTTCAACTCGGTACACAGTTGTAGTGCTGAATCAGCGTCCACTGGCATCTGTAGATCTGGCTTCAGAAGAGGTGCTAATTCTACGAATTCCCCATATTGTCTTTTTGGGTGTGAATACATGTTCTTTGCAAATATATACGTCTCTTAAGTTAACTGCATTGCCGAAATCGTGAGTTTCATACAGACCTGGTAAAAAACAGTGTGTCAGGTTTACCACAAATAACAGAAGAACTGGTTTGTTGCCTTATTTCATGTGCAATCCGGTCTAACTCGGTTTGTATGAGGTCCATGAAGCAAAATTTTAAGTTCTCACATTGTATCGGGTCCAGATCATTAAATACACATGCATCGCGTAAGTCTTTGGAAAAAAATTAATCTACCTATGGATTCCATTTTGTCGTAATGTACACCGCCACTTCTCAATGCGTTGGTTAGATGTGCTTTTTCCAGCTACAATGCTTCAAGTACCAGCAATCGGATCTGTAGAATCGTGTCTGAAGTATTGTTGCAATAGTAAAGCAATGCAGTTTTCCATACCAACACCACAACGTAGTATTGGGTGGGAGGGACTTGATAATGTTCATTAAAGGTATCTAAAAGTATTTTGCAATAAGGTATGGGTTGTTATTTGAGTCCGAAACCTCTAACCATATTATTTGTCTACTATACCCATTCACAGCACCATGGATACAAAATCCTTATGGTTTAAGTTTAACCGTCCATATGTCATATAAAACTGGTCCTTTGGCGTAGTATACGCGTCGGCATAAGCGATGAGCTTTCCGCATCTCAATACCATCTGTTATTATTTCCATGACGTCGTCCCCCTTGACGTACATGTGGTAATCCAGCATAAACCTACGCCATACTGTACGGTATCCTATGCATTGCCCACTTGTTTGTATTTCTCTATTTATAACATCAGACACAGTCTCAAAAGGAGTATATATTCCATTACGCCGTTTTAAATTTAAGCGTTTAAAAAGTCTATTCACTGTACTAAATGACGTCGTAATGCCATGCCGTACCAGAAAGTACTCTATTATCAGCAGAGTTTTGTTTGTTATAGATGTTTAGGGTAGGTATCTTGGCACGGTAGCTTTGGTAATGCCGAACAGTATAATGATGAAGACACAGATCAACATCAAGGTTTTCATCCTCGTTACCTTTTGTCCAGTAGCTGTGTCTGAAATAAGAGTTTATCTTTTATCTAAATCTTTATACATTCATAGTATATAAAATGGGTAAATCTCTTAGCTCCGTCTTTTAAAGATTGATAGGTGCGAAAAAACATAACATTTAAAATGCTAGTAGGATATATTGTTCTAACTGGTCCTATATCTATGTTTGCTCTTAAGTGTTCTTTTCTCAATTGTTAAAATATACAACAAAATTAGACATTGATGCTAAATGCAAATGGTGCTCGAGCACAATTATAAGTTAACTTTGTACTTGTGTGTGTAAACATAACACTTGCCGTTCTTTATGAAATTAGTCAACACTATCTAAGTACTTTAGAGAAATACTGATTCTGTGTTAGCTCAATAAAATGCTGAATTGCGATACATGTTTAATACTGTGCACCATGCCATTTTAAGACGTAAAACTTGTATTCCCTGTCTACTTGTAAAAATTTGTTTGTTACTCATGGACAGATTTTGTGATGAGGGCAAAAATGTATAAGCACTAATATAATGAACATATTTAGAACACAGCAGATTGCACAAAACACACAGTCACACTTGTGGAATTAAAGTCTGTGATATATTACCACTATGGGATTATATCAAATAACATTAAATTCCCTCCTTAACACATCCTCTCCTCCATGACAAATCTCAATGAAATTATTTAAAACGTTTAAAAACATACCTGAAACCAAAGTTGCTGCTTTCAGCTTCTAAAGCACGTGTAAAATGGGTTAGCAAAAAGTCATAAGACGTAAGTCACAAATCAAAAGTCAAAAGTCGAAAGTCAAAAGTAAAACATCCGTAAGTCCAAACTCAAAAGTGACCCTCCAAGGCTTCCATAATAAGCTCTGAAAATGCTAAACTCTGCTTGGACTTGCCGCTATGAGGTCAACGATTAAGAATATAAAGCGGCGTGGCAATTTACGAGAGTAAAACAATAACAAAGCTAAAGAGGAATCGGGGCAAATTGCTCCCATTAAATCTTTTATCTAGAGATATTTCTTGACGACAACATTTTTAATATTTCAAGAAATAAAATTCGCCACTAATGATTTTCATAGTGAATGCACGTATTTGTGAAAGGAAAATGTAAAGGTTTGATACAGTTGATGCCTTAGTTATTTGTTAATTATTTTCATAACTCCTGCGCCAAAATGGTAAAATGTTTATTGGATACCAGTCTGATCTCGACTACACTGAAATATGCATTATTGAAAATGAAGGAAAAGCGAGAGAAGTACATGTACAAATTTTTAATAAAATAAAATAAGGAAATTTAAAAACAAAAAAGGGGATTGGAATCTTAGCAATTATTGCTAATATAATAAACATCGCAATCCATAAAAAAAGCCTGAGCTAAGCTTAAGACCGGTAGGACAGGGGGACTTACATGTCTGTTTCAACAAAGCCGGGTGTTAGAGGTATGTAGCAAAGACAACGCGGCGATAAAGCGATAAGTACGGACCTACACGTACATACAAACACTGCTTATTCAACTTTCGACTAGCCACTTAAAGGCGTCGGCCGGCAAGTTGATTTTTTGCAGCCCTGTCCAAATAAGACACAGGAAAATTTATGGACAGCTAAATGGCCGACCGCACGGTCACAGGCCCCCTCTAACGGTTCAGGAAGCACGCCCAATAACACCAATATAAGAGATAACCGCCGAACGCAAGGTGCTGTTACAAACGGTTAACCTAAAGTGAGCACAAAGATACTGCTGCGGTATCATGACTTTAAGAAAATAAATACTTATAACTAGATGTGCCAAAACCATTTGCCTCACGACGCGGACATTTATAAACGTTTTGAAAATTAAAAAAAAACAAAAACAATAAACAATCGTTTCTCTCGCCTTTTCTTCATAAACGATACACATGCGTTGTAGCATGCCGATTGATGCTATGCAGCCGCACAGTAAAGCATATGTTTGGGGACAATCTCTGGAAAGAAGATTTGCTAGGTAGAACCATTGACCTTTTCAAATAAAACGGCTTTGGTCTGCAAAATACATAGGCAGTAAGACGATCAAACGGGAAAATAAAATGAACTAACTTAGATAAAGAGACTATTAGCTAAATAATTCTAAAGGGAAACAAACAAAACTTGAAAAACACAACGTAGCACTTTAAATCAGGTCACTTCCCGCAAAACGTGGAACATTGAGGTGCCTTTAAACAGACAAAAGACATTACAAACCAGGTCGTCGTTCGAATCCTTTATCTTTTATATACAATATTTAAGGAAATTGAAGTTTAATTTTTTATTATTAATGAATTGGGCCCCGTTTTTATTATCTTTAATTTAAAAAATGATAAAAACAATTTCAACTTCTTTAATTCTTAAAAAATCAAACAAAAATACTTAGAGAAACTTTTGGGTTTTAACTTTTTAACAAAAGATAGACAATTTTAACTTCTTTTAAAATTTGACTTCTTTTAAATTTGAACAATATCAATTTAATTTTTAAAACTTCAGAGAAACTTTGGGTTTTATCTTTTTAAACGGCATATTTTAAACAAAGTTAAAATGACACTGTTTAAACACAAAAAAAACTTTCGACGGATTCAAAAGGGGGAAAATCATATAAGAAAAACAAATTGCTTGAGTGGGCCTTTAATTTATCCGAAAAGACCGCTGGCCCCCAAAATCACAAAAAAAATTAAAACAATCAAACATTTCTTTTATAATTTTTTTTTTCGTTTTATATATCTTTTTAAGCTGCATGCCTCCAGATGAGTCAAAATATTTCAATAAAATCAAACTTGAGAAATATGTACAATGATATTAGGAAAAGTAGAACGATTCAAGATTCAAGTAATATTTTACATGTAATGTGCGATTAATGACTGATTTTTCAATATTTACAACTAGATTCCTACTGCATTACATGTTCTTATGCAGTAAGGAGTATTTATGCAATTTTGACTATTTTTTGGTAATTTGCGTGGGTTGTAGATGCTATTGATAATGTGCAAATTGCTTCCTTTTGGTTATTTCACAATATTATACATTCAAATACATTTTAAAAAAAATCATGAAATATAGCACGAATTTGGAGGCGTGCTGCTTTAATATCAAGAATTGTTTAAAGAACTTATTTATTGTTTATTGTTTTTATAAAATTTCTACAACTGTAATATTTTAGGTTGCTAGGCTATTCTTTACGAATTTTTTTCTTTCTTTCTTTTGTGTAACTTAAAAATGATTTCAAAATTAACTATGAGTTGACAAACTTCTACGATACTAAGTTCAGGCCACTGGGCCGCCAACTTCACGCCGCCAGGCCGCTGAGCCGCCACTAGGCCACTGGGCCGCTAGGCTGCCAACTTCACACTCAATTACTTTACATCTCGTGCTTGATAGAAATATTTCTACTTGATAATCTATCCAACAAATCAAGATTATATTAAAGACCCATGCAAGTAATTACCTTTTACATGAATAGCGTGAATTAAGGAGAGTCATTTCCCATCATCACCTTGAACCATGCCATGCCGCTATCCATCAGTCCATAACATCAACCGGTTCCTTCCTTGATATACCTTTGCTCTGGAAGTATTACAGCACGGTTCGCGTTTTCACGTGTTCGTCTATCTGTCTATAGACATAGCTGCCCACACCAGTCTGTATCAGTAATACTACAAAATAAATCAAATCCATGTACATCTGTACACGACTAGTTATTTTCCAAGCTCTGTGTTAAGTTTTGTTTTTTGTTTGTATAACTTTTAACAATAACTTAGTATCTGTATTTAAAATCGAATTGTAAACTTTATTTAACATATAAAATAATGATTAGTCATGCGGAGATAACAGAGTCAGGCAGTATTTGTATTGTACTTCTGCATATACATGTATAAAATTTACACATAAGACACGTGCTCGCGCCCACGCATTGTGTCGCACATGAAGACTTGAAATAAGCAATATTTCAATTTTTCATGACCCAATGGCAAAATGTCAGTGGTAGTAAACATAAACAAGAGCTGTCCGTAAGACAGCGCGCTCGACTTTTTTATTGCTTGCCAATAAAAAAAGTTTTTGCAGTAAAAGGCAATACAAGAATCTCTGTATTTTTAAAGTGAACAATGGCCATGAGCATTAAGATATTTAGTGAAGAATTATTTTACTGAATTGTGTGATACCCTTGAACACTGCAGCAAAGTTTGAAATGTTTAAGTCAAAAGAGGGCTGGTAAGAAAGAAAAAAAAACTGAGTTGAGCCTTAATTTTTAAAACAAATCCTTGACAGAGTTACCTTCTCTTGCGTACAGATGGGGGTAATGATGTGAAATAGCATTAAAAGTTTCAAAGCAATATCTCAAAGGGTTAAGGCAATAAGTGGATTTTACCCATATTCAATGTATTTTCTAAGTCAAAAAGGGGCATAATTCTGTCAAAAACCTTGACAGAGTTATGTCCTCTTGTCTGTTGATGAAGGTCGTGATGGTAAACAAGTATGGTCAGTTTCAAAGCAATACCTCCAATGGTTTTGAAATAAAGTGAGGTGGTACAAAAAACTTAACCAAGCTCAATACACTTTCTAAGTCAAAAAAGGGCCATAATTCTGTCAAAAACCTTGACAGAGTTATGTACTCTTGTCTGTAGATGGAGGTTATGATGGTGAACAAGTATGGTAAGTTTCAAAGCCATACTTGTAATACTTCTGAAATAAAGTGGGGTGGTACGAAAAACTTAACCAAGGTGTGACGCCGACGCCGACGCCGGGGCGAGTAGGATAGCTCCCCTTTTCATAGAAAAGTCGAGCTAAAAACAACAACATTTGATATACATAGTATATATATTATATCGAACCATGTTAGCAAATTTTGCATAAGTTATAGCTACACTGTGAAATGCATACTGAAAATCACTGCCATACTAAATTCAAAATGCACGTTTTATAAAAGCAAAATTAATCAAAATAACATGAAATACTTCTGAAAGACGAATTGGTGAACAGTTGAAACCAGCTGTGTTAAACTGTTGAAGCATTTCAAATACCGAGAGCAGTTTTAATAAGCGATGTTTCCACGTCAAATTTTAAACTTTAAATGCGCAGCCTTTACAATGTACGCACGAAAAACTCGTGCTTGGTAAACTTACGAAAATCAGTTTTATCGGAATGTTTTACCGTTTCACACGGATGAGTTTTGAGGCAATTACACATATGCACCCGTCAAAAATTAAAAGGGATTTATTTCTCAAAAGAAGATAAATCTACTTATTTACAATCACTTATACTCTATCGCTATGAACATAAACGCTGAAAATATTTGAATACTGAATATTGTGAAAAATAACTTTCCGGAAATGACCGGTTTGTTATGATTTTGTCCGATGTTAGATTTCAACAAGTTGACTTGAATTAGATATAAATTTTAAATTTAATAGTGATTAAAGATCCTGTATGTTGTGATAAAGGTTGTAATCACACTTATGTGAACTTTTATATTTGTTCTAAAACAATTTTCAAACATCGAAGAATATGTACACTATGTACTGCAAATATTTGTCCACATTAAATGTAATCATTAAAATATATGCATTCATTTCTTATAGATAAATTCGATTATGACATTATAGAAAATAAATTTCTTATTACCTCCCTTTATTAACATGAAATGTAAATTCTCTAATATATTTACAAATAATGCTGTTTGGAACTTACAATATTGACTAATCTTCATTTGAGCATTATATTTATGATATAAAACCATAAAAATTAAGTAACAGAATATTTAAATTCAAATTGTCAGTGTTTACCTGTTTGTAAATGATATACAAATAACTGGATTTTTCATTAAAGAGCGGTAAGTTGTACTGACTGATTGCAGTTTC